CATCGACGTCTACACCCCCTCACCTCTTTGTGTGACATAGACACACTTGAGATATGGTGTACGGAACTGAATGCGGTGCCACACGCCAGCCTAGGTTTAAAAAAAACCTGAGTAAAACAAGGTGCAAAAGTTGGAGGCCATAGCTCTTAGGTTAGAGGCCATCGAAGGCAGGTTGAGAGGCCATCGCTAGTAGGTTGGAGACAAGAAACCACAAGACAGCAAAGCGTCAAAGTTGGAGGTCTTCGCTCTTAGGTTGGAGGCCGTCGAAGACAGGTTGAGGGGCCATCGCTAGTAGGTTGGAGACATGAAACCACAAGACAGCAAAGCGGTCAAAGTTGGAGGTCTTCGCTCTTAGGTTAGAGGCCGTCGAAGGCAGGTTGGGGGCCATCGCTAGTAGGTGACAAGAAGCGCAAGACAAACAAGACATCAAAACAGCAAAACAGCAAAAGTTGGGGGTCCATTCTAGTGCGTGGAGGCCAAAGTTCAAGTTAAAGAACCCCTTACAAAGTTTGGAGGCTTACCTGCAACCTATAGGGTAGCCTTAGAGGAAAACAGAAGGAAAGGCACCGACACACAAGTGTGTCGAGTACCATTTCCTCCTGTTTTCCTAAATAGGGAACAGGTACGGAAGTTTGCGTCCAAACTTCCATCCAGTCGATTTCCATAGCTTCATTGGCGTGACTAGGAAATCGACCGTCACGCCTTTGATTTGCGGCTGTGTTCGATGTGCTTGCAAGTCGCTCAGTAAGAGGGGGTGAGGTGCCATGGAGGTGCTTTGAGGCGCCCAGAAAATCCACTCCTTGCAATGGGTCTCAATACCACCCCCGCCATGGAACTCCTGCTCCCCTGTTCCAAACCTTAAGGTTCCCTCTGACTCCAAGGGTTACACACACACAGAGACCCACACACTTACTCAACACACTAGACTTAACATTTCACACTTAACACCTAACACAGAACTCACATTCTAACTTCACACGTGGTGAAAAATGCATTCGGGCCACTCGTCGTCTAGTTCTTGGAAAAGGCATCGTCCTGTGATCCTTCAAAACCTTGTGGTCGTAAAGTGTTCAAAGCCGGGGCTGCACTGAGGCTCATGGAATTCGTTGAAGGTGCTTCCAGATTAAAAGGAAATGCGAAAGCCTTGGATATTTGGCGGATTGAAACAAAGCTTGAGGCAAGGAACACAGTCCGACACAGCAGTGGAAGTTCCAAATTCAGTGTAGCTTCCAAAGTTCCGGCTTTGGAGTTTGCACCCAGTGAAAAACGATTTGACTTGGCGTTCGGTGCCTGGTAGGTCCTTTTCGAAGAGGTCTTCAAGGCACTGCAAATGCAGAGCCCAACTCTCTCCATGGATGTTCAAGAAATCTTCGACAACTCATCGCCCCTTATCGCAATTCAAACGCCACTCTTTTGTATCAAAAGAGTGTCAAGACAGTGTCAAGACATGATATTTTTGGTTTTTGTGGTGAAGATACATGTATCGCGTCGTATGACCAAGGTACAGACATATCAAAGCAACTTCTCCACGTTCTGCGCGTAGATGACGCCAATGAGCCAATGGCGAAGCCATTGGTGGTGTATCAAGTCCCAACAGGAAATACACCAATTGCTTACATCAGAAAGGGATGAAGATCACTTGAAAGGTTGTTGAAGCAGCATGCTGTCTTTCATTTTTGATTTCTCAAGTGTCCTTTCCAACGGGTGAGATGATACAGCAAGTGTCTGCAAAGCAGCTCGTGTGAAGCTATGAAAGGATGTTAGCCACATTTTTGAATTGGGCTGATATAGGACTGCTTCCCTGCAACTCCTGTTTCTCATGGAGTTGTGGTTCGTAGATCCGGGGAGATTCGGGCCTGGTCAAAACATGTTGAAAACATTTGTTCGCGACACAAATCCCAAGTCCCGAGGACATCTCCAAATGACGTTTCCAGGACTGTGCTAGCAGGTTGGAGGCCATCGCTATTAGGTTGGAGGCCAGTAATACTAGTAACAAGAAGCTACTAGGGTGGAGGCCATCGCTACTAGGGT